TTTGTTGTTATATACCTGGATGACTGAGAAAACAAACTTTGTGTTTTAGAAAAGTCAACATTTCTGTGAGGCTCCAGATAAAAGCATGTTTTAGTTCTCTTTTTCCATTTTGTTTTTTAATAGAGAAAAGAAAAAGCTTGATTCACTCTACCTCATTTTCCTGTGCACTTCCCACAACATAGAAGAAAAGATCTATACTGCTCTTATACACGATAGTCATCCCTTCCAAGAAAGCAATCTCATCTGCAGAAATTAAAAGAGCAATAGGTTGGAATCGTTGTGGCATTGTTTCATTTCTTTTCTCTAGACAGAGTATCTTTAAATTGGATACAACAAAATATATACAGGAAAGGAGACCGAGTGAATGAACAAAGAGAAATATGGTAGAAAGGCAAAAAGAAACTGAAATGGGTGTGAAGAACAGAAATCAACACGGCAAAGAGACTTATGAATGGGTGAAGCACAAAAGGTGGAAAGGAGAGGGGAGTTCAGTATAAAGAAAAAATAAAGAAGTATAGAAAAGGAGGTATGAAGGAGGAGTTTACAACAAAAGAAAAAAAGGGACACTGGGTGGTGATGAGAAGCCAGAGGGATAGATCAGGTATCACCTACGTGAATCGTACCAAAAAATAACAGGAGAGTTGATCAGGTTTCTCTGAAAATGAACAGAAATAAAACTTCCAAAGCCACCACAGCTACAAGACTGTGGAAAAGTTGGGTCCCACAGTGAAACCTGCTTCAGGCTGTTGACAGAAGAATGTGCAGCAGCAGAAAATAGAAGCGTGAGCGAGAGCTCTCCACAAAAATAAGAAGTAAACATAAAGAGATAACCAAAGTAACTTACTGTCTGCTTTGTGAGTTTTGCTGAAAACGTTGCTCTCAAAGTTTTTCTGCTCCTTCATGGACGGGTATAATTCAGGGTCATAGTACTAAAAGACAAAATTGGATTTTAACATGAACAGTGTCGCTCCCTGGGGGATACGAGTAAAGAAATAACATTATACATTATAAAGACTGATTCTGCTATATATTGTATTAGCAGGAGACAAGGAGGCAAGAAGATAATATGATTAGAAAAGTTATACCATACTTTTCGGACTATAAGTCGCATCTTTTTGCATAAATTAGCATGTCCTGCGACATATACACCCACCGAAGCGACTTGTTTTTTCCCATATTTATAACCCAATTTTTGGCTGAGATCTGACAAGTTCATTCATTCTGACATGGAAAATATTGAACACTATCATTTTCAGCTGCTAGAGGGCCCTTGAGCATTATGGCAAGCCAAGTGTCTCATTAATAAGTAAAAGTGGCCATTAATTAGACACTTGGCTTGCCATACAGAGTCACCTTTGTCTCACTACTGGAGCAAACGTCAAATCAGCTGCATTTTGCTGCGCCGCCCAGGTGAAATGCAGCTGATTTGACCATTAAAGTGCATTTATTAAGGAAAAGTTCAACTGAGACACACCTTTGCTATAATCTCGACCAAACAAACAATTGTTTTTAGGTGGTTATCTTGGTAAATTTTAAAGAAATGCACAGCGAGTCCACCCTCTGTGCGCTCCCGCAGCCGCTAATGGATTTTTGAAATTAAGCTTTTTTTAACCATTAAAGTGCATTAATTAAGAAAAAGCTCAACTGAGACACACCTTTACTCTAATTTCAAGCAAACAAATAATTGTTTTTAAGTGTTAATCTTGTTAAATTCTTATTAAAGTCCTCCTGTGCACGTTCCCGCAGCCGCCATTTGACATTCAATCGATTTTTGGCACACCAGCCCACATTTTTGCGTCGTCAGTGGTGACGCATAATAGATGTGGCGTATACGGCAAAGCGAAATATTTATGTGTTTTTTTCCACTTTATTAGACATAATTGGACTGATGCGACTTTTATGGCAGAAAGTACAATAGTTGATTGCGCAAAACCTTGACTATCTTCTAAAATAATCTAGAACTTAAATAACTCAATGTTTACAGAACTTTATGTTATGTTAAAATATTTCTTGTAGCTAGTGAAGGACTTTGCCATTTTTGTGACTGAATCAAAATTATTTAATTATAAGTAAAGGAGCTTATTCTTGAAGTTTATCTTGTTGCACTGTTTAGCAGATTTAAGTAGTTTGTTCTTTTGGTCAACATTTTTCTTCTATTATCTGTGGTTGTTTAAAACTGCAACAGCTACCAAAATATGCAATTTTTCAGTTTTTCTTTATTTAAATGTTTAAACTTCTAATAATTTCTACATCCTTAAATGATTGTTTGAGATTACTTTATCTCACACTAATCAAGAATTTTGTAACAACTTTAGTTAAAAATAAGCAAATATTCCATGCTTATGTCCACGTACAACTAAACTTTACTTTCAGTGGTTCAGAACATTTTGACACCGTTCATTTGCAGTTGATTCAATGTTGAGCCACAACTTTTGCTTCAACACTCTCCACCGTGGCACAGTTGGTAGTGATGTTCCCTTTCAGCAAGAAAGTAGTCAGATCAAATCTTGGCCCAGGGACCTTTCTGGGTGGAGTTTGCATGTTCTCTGCGTGCGTGTGTGGGGTTTTCCCAGGTATTCCAGTTTCCTCCAACAAACTAAAAACATGCATGTTAGGCTGATTGGTAACTCTAAATTGTCCCTAGGTGAGTGAGAGTGAATAGTTGTCTGTCTCGTTTGTCTATGTTCATTCAACCTTTATTTATACAGGTTAATCCCATTGAGCCTCGGGGACTCATTTACGAGAGACCTGATGTGTCCCAGTGATGGACTGGAGACTAGTCCAGGGTGTTCTGCACTTCTCACACAGTGATGGCAGGACATGGGCACCAGCAACCCCCTATGACAGATGGATGGATGGATGGATGGATGGATGGATGGATGGATGGATGGATGGATGGACT